CTCACAGCCCTTAGAATGTGGAAGACATGCACAGAGTTGTCTAGACCAGAGGCTGTAAAAATACTAGCTAGATCCGACATGATTGGTTAGTTGCCCTTTTTTAACACTTTTAAAATGCTATAAAACCTTTCCCTGTTATTGCTCAGATTAAACTACATCAGAAGAAATATATACATGTTCACAAAGGTATAATGTCCATAGATGTTTCATAATTATACTTTGTGGGCCTTTGTTATGTCCCTTCTAAAATGTAAATCATTAACTTCACAAGCTGTGTTGTAACGTTTCTGGTACTGCCTTGAACCAGCTCTGAAGTACCATTTCAACAGTTCTTTTGTACCAGGCAAGTTGTACATAGTGCTTCTTTAAAGATATTTATTTCACTGGGTCTCTGTGACAAGACTAGTGAGGGATAACAATGAAAGAGTACAAGACTGGGGCGTTTGAGACTGATAACAGGCACCTCATTGACATAGTGCTGTAAGACAATGAAAGCACAATTTAAAACACTTAGAGAATTCCTCTCAGCCACAATCAGCTCTGGAAAGGGATATTTCAACAGCTGACTTTGTATGATGGGAATAAGACGTTGCTTTTAGCATGTTTCAGGGAGGGATGTGAGGGGCAAGAGGGAGACGACCTCTGTACCTTCTCTCCATGTGCAGTATGGTGGCTTGCAGTTTGTTAGGGTTTCCCCACACATGAATTGCTCTGGCAACATCTTAGAAAAGATGATGTCAGTTCTGATGAAAATTAAAAAGACCAAAATAAAGTCCTTCACACATCAAGAACTAGGCCCAGTACAGACTCAGGGCGGCACGATTCTGAGCTACTTGTCCACTTCCTCTCTGCTGCCTCGGTCCAGTTGGTGCTGTCCCTTCCCTGCCTTCTGCAGGTCCTCAGCACTGACAGCACAGCAAGTACACACATCACTGCACACGAGAAAGAAAAGCCTGCCTGACTCAGGACTCCCCACTCCAACAGTGTTACAGATTTAAAAAAAAGAGAGAATTGTGAATGTTGTTTTTTTTTTAAAAAAAAACTCATTTACTCAGACAATGAAGGAAAAAAAAATACAAATTTCTTCTCTGTCCTAAAGCACTATTTGTAGGAAAGAGGTCAGGCCATGCTTACAGCTTGTATTTACAGCGGAAAGACTTTCTGTTCTGCATATCAATGTTTCTCAGACTAGAGATGAGGGTCTGAATGTGCTCCTAGTTTCCATGTCACATCTCCTGTCAGGACACATGTAAAGTCTGCAAGACAGCGCTCCTGTTTCCGGGGCTGTGGGGTTAACGTTCGTATCCGTCCTCCTCCCCCAGGGCATGGGGGTCTAAACCAACTAGGCGGGATGTTTGTGAACGGCCGGCCTCTGCCCGAGGTGATCCGGCAGCGCATCGTGGACATGGCCCACCAGGGGGTGCGGCCCTGCGACATCTCCCGGCAGCTCCGCGTCAGCCACGGCTGCGTCAGCAAGATCCTGGGCCGGTAAGACTGCCCCCTCCCTTGCCCCCTTGCAGGTCCGCCGCTCGGCCCCTGCTCCCCTACACGCAACAGTTCGTGCACCGCGCCCACACTTTCTCATACAGCTGCAGTGTATCACCCTGCAACTCCCAGCTGGCGGCCCACTGGAGCTTAGCAGGTGTGATCCTGGATGGGAGATCTCCTGCGGAAGCTGAGGCTGCTGCTGGAAGAGGTGTTAGTGGGACCAGTAGGGGGCGCTCACCCTGCGGTCT